ATGACTCATAAAATCATACTTTAAGTTGTTTTAAGGAAAGTGTTAAGACTTTATTAACAAGGAAATGTAAAAACTTTTTGCAAACATCTTTTTTTGTGTGTGGTCAGAGGATCAGTAAAAAGAGTTTATTGTTAATTTATTGATTTATTGTTATTTATTTTATTTGTTTATATTTTTATAAGATTTGTAAAATTAATTATTTTGTTATTTTGTCTGATCTTGTTTATATAAAAAAATTATTAATTTATTTTATTTAATTTTTTTTATTTATTAAATATATTATTGATTTTCTTTGTTATAATAAATTAATCTATTTTGTTTATAGACTTTTAACAAACTTTGTTATTTTATATTGTTATTATATAAATTAATATATACATATTTATATAACTTATTTAATGTTTAGTCAAATTTATATAAAATTTGAATACTTTATTGTTCAATTTTTGAAAATTTTTGATATTCTTTTAAATTTTGTAAACTTTGAGTTTTTTTAAATTTTATCAGTAGAAATTATTGTTTGTAAAGTTCTTTTTAGTATTTAGAAAAGTATAAACTGATATTGGCTTGATTAAAATTTTAAAAAATCAATATTGGGTTTTATTAAACTTATTGTAAATTAACTTATTAATATATTTTCTTTTTCTTTATAAAAGTGAAGTTGGTTAAAGTAATATATCATTTAAAATTTCTTTTGAGTAACAAAAAAGTCTTTTGGTGTTTGATAGAATATTATAATTTATTGATTAATTTTTTTTTTCTAAAGTGATAGAATGTTTTTAGCTTTTTAATAAAATAAATTAAGTTTTTTATATTATAAAAATAATTTTAAATAATAAAATAAATATTTTGATTTTTTTTTATTTTTAATTATTATTTTTTTTTATTATTTTGATTTTAAATTATTTTTTTATAAAATGACTAGTTAAATAGAATTTTAATTTTTTAATAAATCTATAGTTTGTTTGATTTTAAAAATTAATTTATAATATAATATATAGATTTTAAACAAATATTGATTTATAATTTTTATTTATTATTTGATAACCAATAAATAGATTTAATAATAAAAAAAATTATTTGTATTTAATAAGAAATTTATTATTATTTTTTTATAAACTAAAATTTCTTTTTTTAATTTTATAATTAATTTTTTATAAAAAGTTATTATGGTAAAAATTATATTTTTTATTATTTTATATATATACATTTACTTTATATATATAATTTCTCAATAAAATAGTATCCATTTTTTTTTTTTTTTTTTTTTTAATTTAAATTATAACTAGTATTAGATATGAACTATTTATTAATAATTAAATCTTAAGTATAACATTAATCATCTCATACATATACATGTAGATTAATGATAACCTATTATAGCTATTCAAAGTAGACATACTTGAAATTCTTAAGTGAGAAGACACATTTGTCTAGGGGTTGAATGGTTAATAATAGTTATCAATGGTGATGTTGGTATAGTTCGATAATTCTGTTAATAATGGATTATATTGCTATACTAACTTATATATTAGTGTTAAATCCTCAAAAATTATTTAACTATCCAGATACTCTAATAATTTTTACTCGAACTTCGGAAGAGATTTCTATTTTCTTTGTCACCACCTGTGATATTACAGACAAGTCCTATCTGACAGATTCTTAATTTAAGCAAGCACCAGATTGGGATATTTCAAGTTAGAATGGTTAGATTCTAGAATCTGCTGGTACTGTTTGGAATAGAAATGTTCAGATGATTGTCACAATCCTAAAAGTGGGATTCTAGAGTCTGCTAGTACTGTTTGGGGTTAGTAATATGTTCAGATAATTACCACAGTCCTAAAAGTGGAATCCTAAAGTTTGTTTTTTATTCAGTTCAGAGAGGATTAAGTCAGGCGTAATTTATATAACTAGACCAGAGACCTTTCTTTATGTAATTTTTATGATAGATCCTTTTCAATCTGGTGATTAATAGGAAGGTCAAAAGTCATATTCTTGTACAATCTAATTATTTTTTTCTTACCTGACTCTTGTGTAATATTGAACTCTGAATCTTGTAATTGTAATCTGAAAGTACCACCACTATGTTATAGATCTATAGGTCTATAATATCTATTTTTTTATTTTTATTTTAAATTAATATTTTATAATAAAATATTAATTGATAATTGATAGACTTTAAATGCATAATTATGATAATTTTATAATAAAAATATTAAAGCTTTATTTAAATTCATATCAAATTATAATAAAAAACATTAGTCCAAAGACTTTTGCATCAGACAGTATATAAAAATTAGTTTTATAATATTAATTGTTTAAAAAAAAAAAAAAAAAAAGTAAAAAAATAGTGACATCCTAAAGTTATAATTGAAAAATAAATGATTATCAATATAATTTTTTAATAGAGCTTAGGTAATCCAATGCTTTAATAACAAATAAATATACTGTATATTTTATTTAAAGAAACTTAATAGTTACGAATTATAATAAGATCAAACCGATAGCCATATTGAATGAATATTGCTTGCAAATAGAAGATTTCTTAATTATTGTCTTCGAATTTTATTCATTGTTTAGTTAATTTATTATTGACCGAAACATCATGACAAATTCGATATTAAAAAGACCTTACTATCACTTTTTGCATACAAAGCAAATCTAATATACGGACCCGTTTCTAAAACAAATTCAAACTGCATCCCTTACTTGGATACATCACCGCAGAATACTTTCCGACTTATGCGTGCAATATATTTGGCGGATTAATCGGCCAGTTAGATATACACCACTTAGCATATCCTACAGGAGGTGCTAGCGAACGACTCACCGGTACTACAATTTTAATTGGTTTTCTTTTTTTTTTTTTAAACGACGTGTTATCAAATCATTCAACAGGTGGCACAATTGTTCAATATAATAAAGCATAATAGATAAGCTTAAGCTTAATTTTAATGTATGCAAACTTCCTGTTCAGGCATGGTGATCTTATATGAATTTGATGACTGGATCGCCGTACCCGAGGATTCGAAGACGATAGGTGCTCTACCGGTGAGTGATAGGGCACTGTGCAATAGTTATCCATCACATTTGTTATCGTAATCTCACTCTCAGCGTTATTATCGCTAACACGCTAAGTCTTATCTAGCCAAGTATGTTATGCAGAGCAATAAACGTTTGTTTTTTGCTATATGCCGTATTTCACTCATTAATATCGTACAGGAATCCAAATATTTGCATGGGCACTTTGTCGAAATTGATTGGCAAAACCTAAAAACTTAAATTCACCGCATCTTTCCTACCACCGTCTTTTTCATCCATTTCAGCGCTCAAACTTCACTCGTTGTCATTAATTATTATACACACTCATTTATAACGATGTCACCTTCAAAACTTCGATCGAATTCCGTGAGTTCACCCCCTCCCTTGATTCAACGTAACAATCGTAATGGTCTATTTCGTATTTCCAGTGCTCCCTCATTTCCGATACTAGTGGCTGCCACCGAAATACCTCGCTTACCGATTACCGAATGTCCTAAAAACAATGGCGTCGATGTTTGTAATGAGACGATCTCGGAAAAGAGAGAGAAATCTAGGTCAAATAGTAATAAGGTAAACCCTAGAGCTAACAAGGTGCACCCAGGCAGAGAAGACGAGAAATTTGTTGAAAAGATTGCCGAAAAACTGCAAAGCCCAGCGTTTGAGGCATTCTTGAATCAACGAGTGTCTCTCACCACCGACCAAATGGATAAAATTGAATTCGCGAGGTTACAGGCCAACGTTGAAAGATTACCCCCAAGATATCCTTCTCAGGTAATTAAAGATATGATCGCGCGTACGATATGCCGCATGTGTAAATTTGTCACGTGAAAAATAACATGACCAACACGCACTAAATCAAATCACAGGATTCGTATTTACGCAAAGATATTCATCACCTTTATTTCACCAACCTTCACGCCAACTTTACCCGACTCGAGGATCCCTCGTTCGAACAGCAGCGCTATTGCATGTCCAGCGAAAAGGAAGAAATCCTCTACGCTCAGCGAATCTTTAAACGACTAAGCCGCGCACTGAAGTTGCGAATGGCATCTCAGGATGCCGATTTGCTGTCATTGGAACAAAAGAAAGAAATAAGATTCAAAGAGATAGAGGAGAATTTGAATCAGTTAGTGGAAAAGTTCCCGAGGTTTGAAAATCAACGAGTGATGCCTAGGAGCACGATCACCTGTGATTCGTAGGAACCATTCTTTCTATGGATATGTAAAAAAAATTTTTTTTTTGTATATAGAAATGAATTCTTGACATTATTTTTTTGTTAATCTGTATTATTATTTAGTAAATTTTAGTAAGTTAATGTTATGATAATGATGGATCTAAAACCTATTTTTAACCCCTGTGGTTCATGCTGATTTAGACTGCTCGTGGATTAGGAAGTTACTGTGCTAACTTGATGTCATCGGGCCCTTCCAAAAAAAATCTTTCTTTAAATGTACTACTGTACAATTATTTGGTGCTCGCAATAGACATTCATTTTTCTGTAATTGCCCTTACACGTGAATATTTTTTATATACATCTGCATATAATGTGTACTGTATATATTATGCATGCAATAATAAAATTAATACCATTTACCATTAGGTCTTTGTTGTATATCATTATTCGCCGTCCCTTTTATATACAAATTTTCCACTGCTTCTTTCATTAGATACGTTAAAAAAGAGAGACGAGCTGGATAACGAACAGACAGGGCATTTGCCAAGTCCTGTAAAATATCGTTACGATGGAAATTCATGTTTACATTACATCTGTCCGTATGCGTATAGAGAATTTGGATTTATTAAGATTTTCCAATAACATCAACCCAAATAAGTACTTGATCTTAATAGAAATAAACGGTTTTATTCGTGTAACCCAAAATTTCGCGTGTATTTTCGCCAAGAATTCATCTATTAGTATCAAATCGCTGATTGATATCCGTTTTCTACTCATCGATAAAGGATCTGTTTTCACCCCGATAACTTGACAATGACGCAATTCTACAAGGAGACAAATCGAATCGACGATAATGAATCTATCACAAGACTCGGATTTCCTTCTCTCTCGACTACTCATGGTAAAATTCCAGTCGATGATGCCGTACGAATTGCCTGCGAGGTCGTGTGTCGCCAAATTTGGACACGGGTCAATCGAGCATCCTCTTGTTAATATCTTTTTTCTTTTCTTTTAACTAAAGGTTATAAAGGAATTTCTAAGCACTCGTAAAGGAGATCAAAGTTTTGAATTGGTCCTTGTCGAACAGGACAGTGACGTCGTGAAAGCTTTTGAATTGGTGAGGATATTGGATTTCTGAGTGACAAATGAGAATCGGAAAAATTCACTTTATATTATAATAATAGCAGTGGAAAAAGTGTGAGGAAAATGAGGTTGACGGAGAATCGAGATTTCAAATAAGAAATGGGAACTTGAATAGAAGCAAAAGTGAAATTGGAATAGAATGTAGGTAAGATGATCACCGGTCCTGTTTGTTATTCTTTCGAGAACTTAGTGGACTCACCAACATGCATTCAATCAAACTAACCAAAGATATATTGTTCATGAGACAACTTGGAGATTGAAGCCTGGTGTGTTGCAATCTTTTAATTAATTATGTTGGTTGAAAACTTTTAATGCTGAATCAACAAATGTCGGCGTGTTATCAGATGCCACCATTTTGAGCAAACAATTATTTGATGAAATCGGTCCTAAATTACTTGAAGAGATAAAACGATTATATCCAAAGACTGGCGTTGTGAGTATTAAATTGTAAAACGCAATTTTCTAACAAAAAATAAAATAAAATATGCATGTATTTTTTAATCCGTGTTTTAAGGTTGGTGAATCATATCCTGTACCACTGCCGTCGGACACGTATCAAAGGGGAATTGAAGGTGTCGAGCAGGTTCTCGAAAGATAATTTAAAAAAAAAAATTTTTTTTTTTTTTTTTTTTAATGGAAGTTAACCCAAATTCTCGGATGGATTGTAGATAATATACGTTGTATCACCTAATATGAATCCTTCTCGGACGGATCCACTTTCACTTGACGAAGCCAAAAATTTTCTATTTGACTCATACAGATCAATGCTTAACGCGTTTTGGTCGTTAAAAAACGGAGTGCAGCCTATTTCAAAAGCGAAGGGACCAGAGAAGCAATCGATTTGTGAGTTCGAATCAAAATTTCTGTTGATATCAGATTTAATATTATAACTTGATAATCCACCGCCCATATTATTCAAATAGTCGAAACGATGATGGCCTCAGCACGTAATCTTCATACCAAATCGACGGGTCCAGCATCAAAGTCCACCGCAAAGCGGTCATCGTCATCTCACTCGGGACATTGGTCAAATGTTTTGTTACGGTACTGCGATCATCCCGAGACCTTGTCTGCTGAAGAATTGTATTATTACGACGATGAATATGTCATAATTTGGGATCAATATCCAAAAGCAAAAAAACATCTTCTGATAATGCCCAGAAAAAGAATTGATAGTATCGGAGAATTAAGAAGAGAGGATTTGGGGTTGGTTAGAGGTTTAAAGGAGAAGGGACGATGGGTTATCGAGAGGTGATTATGAATGTTTTTAAGATTTTTGTTAGGCTCATCAATTTACATATTACCGCGCGACGTAATTAGATTGAAGGAGGAAGACCCGCGCCTTGCGTTCCGTATAGGATTCCACGCTGTTCCCAGTATGAAGTAATTACATGCATCTCTTAAGATATTTTTACGATCCGTTTGGTAAACCCGAATTCAACAGTCACAAACAACCATTTATATTGCTAGACAGCTCCACGTACACGTGATTTCTCAAGATTTCATTTCTCCCTCGTTGAAAAATAAGAAACACTGGAATTCATTCACGACCCTCTTCTTTAAAGATTTCGATGAGATTGAAAACTTGTTAAGCGAAAAAGGTGAAATCAAGGTGCGCGATGCTTTTTCTTTTTGAATTGCTCGTTTGGTGACACACCGATTCTTTATTATCAATTCAATGTTTATACATTTAGTTTGACAAAAATTACTATGAAAGTTTGTTATCCATGCCACTTAACTGCCATTTATGCGACGAGAGGAATATAAAGAATATTCCAACTTTAAAGAAACATCTGGAAGAACATTGGAAGACTCGAGTAAATGATCTTCCGAAGATGGAAGAATAGATTCAGAATTGCCAGACACTGCATTTATTTATTTCGATTTGTGGTCTGCCACCAACTTGACCTTGCCATCTTTTCTCAATTCGGCTTTAACGTGAATCTCTCTCAGAATATCATTTTGAACGGCACCAACGGGTTGAAGTTCGTCGACAAATTTTTGGTTATCAGGATTACCGACCAGTAAACTTCGGATTGCAAATATCGCTTGTTCGCGAATATCTACGTCGTTTGGTTAATAAAAAGAATATACAGTTTAGAAAAATTGAAATCATTATGATTATTATTCATTTATTTATTTTTTATTTATTTATTTTTTTTATGGTATACTTACACGGGTTATTATCATCAATGTTGCATTGATTTAAAACTAGGGGAATACCTCCTAATTCACGTACCTACATTTTAGAAAGAAACGATTTGGTGACACCGTATTAATTGGTAGAAGGAAAAGTCAAATTTTTTCTACATTACCTCGTCCTGTACAATTTTATTTTCAAAGGACATATTCCCAATTACTTTTACTATGTTCCTTTTGATATACGAAAACCCTGTTGCGCCATCTTGTGAGTTCGGAAAAGTTGACACGGCTTTCGTCACGCGTGGTAGAGTTTGGTCGGCTTGAAACAAAAGTGCTATATCGAAATAATGGAGTTTCATCACAACGCGCGGAAAAAGTAGAGACGAAAGAATATGAAAAGACAATGATACTTACAAATGCACGTGGCGATAATTCCTTCTTTGAATAAACATTCGCGTATTCCGTTGTCTACATCTTGACTTAATTTTCCCAGGCATTCCAATAATATGACCAGTCCGGTGATCATTAATTCCGTATCTTCACTTTCTTGAAGTTTATCTTCTCCAGAAACGGCCGTGTGTTTCGACTGTTGCATTAAGTAAATGACCTGAGGACAAAGTACGGTGAACAACCTTGACAGGAAAGTGCAAGAAGAAATCGAAAGAGGTCTAGATGCATCCGATGTTGTATAAATCTTGGAGTCGAGAAATTTGAGCAAAGTGATTTGGTGTCGTGTCGGTATTTGTCTGAAAAAGGAATTCGGTGGGTTAGAATTTTTTATTATTTCATAAATTGGAGATACACCGAATAATCTGTCTGTACTTTGAAGATTGGTTTAGGGAATTGTAAAGTGCTGGGAAAAGGTCCGCATCCGTTAACCGAGAAAAAACCGAATATCTTTACGATTGAACAAAGGTAAGGGTGAATTTTCAATCTTCCAATCAATCAGAAAACGTAAATATAAATATCACACATGAGATCGAAATTCTGAGAACTCTCGTCTTCAAGAAGCGTCTCGGCCTTTCCCAAAAATTTTCTCAAAAGACGCGTCCCTGACACTGAATTTACCAGAGTCTTACTACGAAATTGTATATTAATGATAGCCTATTCATTACTTAAACTGCATTAGAGAGCCCGACCGAGAAACTTAACTAACAAGAAAGGATACCTTTGAGATTCGTTCTCATGTATGCAATTATTAACAAAAACCAAGCAGCCTGTCAGTATAGCATCATCATCGAAACAAGCGAGCGCGCTATTAAAATACCGAATACGTTATTTCGACGGCAAACGGGAATCATGGTGCATCTTTTTTACCTAAGAGCCTCACCTCAAGAGGTCATTGGGCTCGCTCCTGTTCATGAAATCTTTCCAAATGATTTCTTGCGCGAAATGGTTTGCCGATATCATGTTAGATAACGCTTGAATCCCAGATCTTAGGATTGCAGTAACTTTCAACAACAAACGATTGTGAGAATGGTGTATTGGATCGGTCAGAGTTCGCGATAGAACAGAATCGAAAGAATCATTATTATTCTTGAACACTGACATTCGGTATCATTCCCCGGTTCAACTTTGGACAAGCAATACCATGAAATCTGTTCAATCGACTCATTCCACCTTTGTTCTCTAAAAGTTCAACAAGATGTATTTAATTTTATATATATATATATATATATATATTTTTTTTTTAGTCATCGTGACTTTTCTTAATCTTGATCATACATACAAAGCATTATTTTGATTCTCAATAACTGCCGCCACTACATTCCTACACATGCGCAACACCCATAAGACGACCAATAAAATCGAATGATTTTCGTTCGATAAATTTTCCGTTGTCCAAGAAAATAATTTGGATGTTGTTATCCAAAAACTTTTATTTAAACTAAGGGCTTCCCTATTGGATGAGTGCAAAAAGGAAAAAAAAAAAAAAACCTGTAAAATGCGACCCATCGTTGTTTAAAATACTCTCATTGAAACTTTACTAACCGGAATTCCGGTTTAGTCTGAGCCTCCAAAGCAATCTTTTTCAGAGAGCTGACCAAGCTATCTAAATCCTTTACGGGCTCGGTAAACAAAATCTCTAATTGTTGTACAATCAAGCCATGCTCGACTTCCATTTTCTATCACGGCGTATGAAAGTTCCTTTTCGACGCACGCGTATATCCGTGTGTACGGTATCTTATCTATATCAGATATTGTACATCACAGTACGTAATGCGATAAGCCACCCGCAATGTCATATATGCGCATACATTAATAATGATTTTTGCTTATAAATAATATAGGCATATTACGATTATGAAAGCATTCTAAAAAAGCCTACCTTCCGCATTTTAAATTAATTACAGTATGTCCCCGGTTCTCGACCAACTCAAACAATTCACCACCATTGTCGCCGATACCGGTGATTTTGAATGTGAGTAATTAATTAGCAACTGCACGAATTGAATGCTTTATCATTTCCAAATCTTCCCTCGAAGACAAATATTCAGACATATACGAATTTATTTGATCTAAACCATTTTCATTGTGTCAATTTCAATAACTTTAAACATAGCAATCGCGAAATACAAACCACAGGATGCGACCACGAATCCTTCTTTGATCTTGGCCGCCACTCAAAAACCCCAATACTCCAAGTTGATTGACGAAGCCATTGAGTATGCAAAGAGTAAAGATGGGTAAGTCTCCTCTCGTAAAGGCTTTAACAATGACCGCGTAAATATTTACATTAACGACGCTTTATTATTAAAAAGATCCGTCGAAGAAAAGGTCGAATGGGCTACGGATAAATTGGTACCCATTACCCAAGAAATAAATATTCTTTGCGCTTAATGCAAGTACTCTCGATAACACTCTTTCCCACCTCCCCTTGACATTTGCAGTTGATCAACTTTGGTTGTGAGATCCTAAAAATTATTCCTGGTCGTGTTTCCACCGAGGTGGACGCCCGACTCTCCTTTGACACTGAAGGTACCATTGCCAAGGCGAAAAGGTTGATCAGTTTATATAAGGAGGTCGGAATCAGCCCTGATCGCGTGTTAATAAAGATCGCATCAACATGGGAGGGAATTCGCGCGGCCGAAATACTTGAGAAAGAAGGCATTCATTGCAACTTGACCTTACTCTTCTCATTTCCTCAGGTGAGCGTCGGCGTGAATCGGTTCGAAACATTTTTTATTTCCGCCGGCTGCAAGTAACCACAAATCTAAAATTCTTAGGCTGTAGCATCTGCCGAAGCAGGTGCAACACTGATCTCGCCGTTTGTTGGTCGTATCCTTGATTGGTACAAGAAGAATACGGGTAAAACTTACTCTTCAACAGACGACCCCGGCATCTTATCAGTAACCAAGATTTATAATTACTACAAGAAATACGGTTATTCCACCATCGTAATGGGCGCCTCATTTCGTAACGTTGGTGAGATTTTGGAGTTGGCCGGTTGCGATTTTCTTACCATCAGTCCAACTTTGCTAAACGAACTGGCTAATGACTCGAGTCCGATCAAAAGGAACCTGAGTCCCGAGAGTGGTATGTGTTTACGTTGTAGCCTTTAGAGACTTGCGTTTCATAAACAAAAAATTTCACATTATCTGCTGATCTAGCGAAATCCTGCGACGAACCAAAGGTCACATACGATGAGAAGACTTTCAGATGGGAACTCAATGAGGATCAGATGGCCACCGAAAAGCTTTCAGAAGGCATTCGAAAGTTTGCTGAGGATGGTGGAAAGTTGAAAAATGAATTGAGAAAACGTTTGGAATAATTAATTAGACTATTATCTGACAGACCAGACCTGATCGATAGCGCGAAAAAATTTATTTTTTTCCGAATGTTTGCTGCATATCTTTGTATTTTTAGAAAACAATGTGCTCAAATAAAAGTAGCGTTTTATTTTAATCTACGTAGATGTAAAGTAGAGAGATGCTTTTGATACTCATGTATGTATGTATGCATAGGAATAAGGTCAAATTAAACTTAGTCCATCGCTTTGCATCCATTGATTATTCCATAAAATATAATTGAAATAATTTAAATAATTTTTGACAAACGAATATACAAAGTAGCTTTGAAAATGATGGCATTCGCTTTAAGAAATGAAGTTTAAATCAATTCATGATTTTTATAATTAAATTGATTATTCATTATATTTAGTTTATTGTATGATAAGTTATCGATTTTTTCATTGCTTAATCTAAAGTATAATATAATATTTTTTTATTGATTTATTTTTATTATTAAAGTTTTTAAACAAGACATTAAAAACAATTTATTAATTTATAAAATGTTTTTTTTTCAAAGTAAATAATTGCATTAATAAATTATTACTATTAAATTTTTTTTAATAACTGGTTTAACCTTATTTATTGATAAATAAAATAATATGTAAATTAAACTTTATAAAGCCTAGCAATTTACTGGATTTGACTGATAAAGACCTAAATTCTCAAAATAGATTAATAGTAATGTCAAAATAAACCGGTATTAATATTAAAAACTCAAAGAAAGATTGTTTTATCAAAAATTTTATTAGTCAAAATTGTAATATTTAGCAGTTGATTTATTAATAAAAAGATTAACAAAAATTTCTTAAATGATATTATTTAAAATTTAATAAAATTTATCACAAAATTGTTTATTAATAATTTAATTAAATTTAAATAATAATTTATTAACAATTTAATAAAAAATAAATAATTAGTCAAATATTTATCAAAAAGTTATTAAACTTGTGAAAAAAAGTATTTATATTTAAAATTACTGATATTATTTATACAATAATATATAATTAATTAAATTATAATAATGTAAATTATAAATTATATAAAAACTATTTCTACTAATTCCCAATTTCCTTAAAAATTTACTTTTTTGATAATATTTTTGGAAATCAAGAGCAAGCTTTCAATATCTAAAAAATATATAGTTTAAAAATATAACTTGCTACCAAGCTTCAAAAATATTATACTTCTTTATAATAACAATTATAGGATAAGTATCAGAGAAAAACTATTCCAGTAAAAAAAACTCTTTTCCACTTCCCCCTATTTCGTGAAATTTTCCTTTTTAGGAAGTTCTCTTTCCCTTTCCTCCTTCTTTACTCTATACGCTTTACCAACCATGCAGCAGATAGAGTCTGAGATGTGCTGACCCACACGAGACTCTGTTGCCTGACTTGTTGATATATAGAAAGTATTATGTCTAAGGAAGCGCGAGCAGACCTGAACTCTGCATATGGCAAATGTCTGAGATGAAGGGAACTGTCTTATAGGGCTGGGACACTCCTGAAGTGAGGTTTTGTGTATGCCTGAGTCGTCATAGACATGAATACTTTTATTTCTTTTTTTTTCACCCACTCCTTAACCTCCCCCATCTCTTTGTCTTTTCCCCATTCACACTTACCCCTTCATTTTATACCCTTCCTGCCGACGGATAGCTTTTCCCTTTCTCAAGGTTTTCTTCCTAGGCTTCTCACTCCTTCTCTTACTGAAACATCTCATCAACCCCATGAAACATCAAGGCTTTTCTCTGGTCAAGACAATGGGCTCACCTATATGAAAAGGACCAAACAAGACTTCTCACGATTGAAAGAGGAATCTGTGACAAGGGAGGTCACATTTTCAAAACCCTAGGCATACCTTTCCATAATCACTGGTTACTTTACAAAGCCGTATGAATAGAGAAGAGATAGTAATGGCAGAAACTTCATCCAGCAGCACCAAAAGTATAAGGACTTACTTTCTGAGGGCCTAGACTGCCATTGCGTTGATCAGAAGTAAATAGCTAGATGAGAGCTCTTAATTTGAATACTTGATAACTCCACCATTAGTCAACTCAGGAAGTGAAAAATGGGACTCTCTTGTTTCAACTTTCTCCCAAGATCCTACCAAAAACCATGGTCAGCTTACCTTCTCCAAAAGATCAGCACAAGATAATCATGCCTTATTAGGACCATGGCCCCTAGTAAGAAAAGACCCATGGCCTACAGCTTGCTTCAAACTGGTTTCCAGGTCCAGTACAACAAAAACCTAATTTTAACAATCAAACCGTCACATACAGTACATTATCACATTACCCTAGTGAGCACCCTTACTGGTCAATAGTAAACTAGTAGCTAGATATTATTTACCATTTTTTCTTTTTCTCGAGTTGAGTTTTCAGAGTTTGTAAGGGTCTATCCATGTGATTAGTTATAATTATTCATATAATGATTATTAGTGTTGATTAATAACTTAATTGCTTAATAAAGTCATGCACTTAATACTATTTGCAAAAAAAAAAAAAAAAAAAATTTTAAAAATAAAAGATAACTTTAATATGATAGAAACAGAACTATATACAGTATATTCAATTACAAAATCAAAACCATAGAGATGTGATCTGACAAACACAAAACCTATAGTTCTATTAGAAATAACATAAAAGTACTTTACAAAAATTCTTATTAACAAATTAAAAAATATTTATAAGATAAACAATATTCTCAAAAGTTTTAATTATGTAGAACTTTCTAATGAAAGTATAACAGAACTATCCAGATCTTAAACAATATCTATGAAAATATATGGAAAAGTAAAAAAGAACTCTAGATATTCTTTTAGGATATAGCTAAGACATATGATTCTATTAGCCTAAATATATTAAAAAAGGTAATAAAAAGAATTAAAATTTTAACTGGTTTTATTAATATAGTAATATACTTGTTTCAAAATAGAAATATTAAAATTATTTATAAAAACAACTATACAAGTCCAATAATAGCAAAAGATGAAATTGATCAAGAAGAAACTATTTTCCTTTTGATATAAAGAATATTATATGATCCTTTTCTATGTAAGATTCAAAACAATAAAATGAAAATACAAAATAATAGTTTTTTGAAATCCAAATCTAACAGGAAATAATATAAGAAAACTAGAGTCTTGACATGTAGCTATTACCTTTATAGATGATACTATATAGATTACTAAATTCAAAAAAGATATGAAAAAAATTTTAGAAGATATAAAAATTTTCTATAAGGCAAATGATTTTCAAATAAATAGTAATAAATCAATTCTAGTTACTATTAATAATTTCAATAAATATCTGACAGAAGTTCAAGTAAGCATTAAAAAATAAAATAAGAAAACTCTTTTCACTGATCCTCTGACCACACACAAAAAAGATATTCGATACTTCTTTGCTAATAAAATCTTTACACTTTCATTAAAACAACTTGAAGTTTGTCTTCATATATCTCTCCTACCCTCCCTTACTTGTTTATAAACTCCTTTAAATAAAAACTTGAGCCTCTAGTAGCCTGAAAAGACTCAAGTACTCACTTCCTCTACTAAGGGCAAGAAGGTTCTAAGAAGTAAAAGGACTAACAAATGGAGTGTTACCTTATAGAGCTAGAAGTGACAAGAAATAGAGGTTTTGTTGATAAAGAAAGGCTTATTACCCACCTTCTCACATACTGTTTTGTACCCTTTTAAAGTGTTTACTGTTTTTCATGGTTTTCTTGAGGGATTTTGCCTACTTCAATATAATCCTGAATTTTTAATAGTATAATGTCACCTGGTATCTGATTAATTGACACAAAACACGTTAGTTACTGAATATAAACAAGCTTCTATTGGTCACTTCATGTGTTCCGATGACATTATTGGTGATAGAAAGAGTTGATTGGTGCCCGTGTCTACCCTACTTCTCCAATTGGATTAACCTACAAACCAAGTTCCATGAAGTCAATAAGATATGAACAACAAATCCCCAGGTAGTAAAAAAGCTACTATTTGTTCAAGCTGAAGTCTTTCTGTCCTATTATTCTGATCAAGCAAAGTTCAAAATCAAGGTCTTTTTTTTATCCTGGTTAGGCAATAAGATTGAATAGTCTCTAGTCTATGCTAAGTTCCAATCTTTTGATTATAGTTGAAAATGCATTTTCCCAGAAGTTGTTGAAGAATACTGCAATCAACGATGATTCCCACTGCTCTTCTGGTACTCTTCTACCATTGTGAAGCAAAAAGATTTTTGGGAAAAGACTATTTTGAGCAATAAAAGATATACATCAGTAAAATTTCTTTAACTAAGCATGGTTGTTAGAAGGTATTATACTGAAAAAACATGACCTAGTCCCTACTAGGTCACATAAGAACCTGAGATTCATCATAAGTTATCCTTCTACTGCAAGTGGATAAAAAATCACTATCCAAAGAGGGTTGAGGCTAAGTATGTTCTAGAAGTAAAGGCTCTCACTAGGTGATAGGTCTCCTCAGATGGTACATGAGAAGGAAATCAAAATCAAGAATGAATTGTTTCTCAGACAGTCAGAAAAAGAAAGAATATCCCAATTAGACATTTCTTATTAAGAAGAGGTCTTGAGAAGTAGGTCTTTGAAGGAAGCTAGAAATATATTTTTTTTAATTTTTACTCTTTCATTTTCTTGTTAGTTTACTTAGATATTTTTAGATATCCCCCTTCCTTTTTTTCAATCCATTCTTTTGTAGTTTCTTGTATTCCAGCAGCTTGGATTGATATATGGTAGTGACAATCTGCTGACAATGATACAGTGGACTAGGAGGATCTTTACCCAAAGACACTACAAAGTGAAATATTATCCCCAAGGTTAAACTTAGAGGCTTTTATGCTTAAGACGAGTTTGTTAGATTAGAAGAATAGTTTGCTATAGTATGTATCATGCTGCTTGAATGAAAATGTACTTATATTTTTAATTGATTAATAAACTCATAATTTAGCTTGGCTACGAATATACAAAAAAAA